CTCTGGGATTTTCATACATGCTCTCTGTCACACATCTGTACCATTATGATGCATGGTGTGGGGTCTTCATACATGCTCTCTATCACGCATCTGTACCGTTGAGTATGATGCATGCCGCAGGATCTTCATACCTGCTTTCTATCATGCATCTGTACCATCGAGTATGACATGGGCTGCAGGATCTTTATACATGTTCTCTATCATGCATCTGTACCATTGAGTATGATGCATGCTGTGGGATCTTCATACGTGCTCTCTATCAAACATCTGTACCATCAAGTGTGACACATGCTCTGGGATCTTCATACGTAGTCTCTGTTACGCATCTGTACCCTTGAGTATGACGCATGCTGCCAGATCTTCATACATGCCCTCAATCACGCATCTGTACCACTGAGTATGATGCATGCTGTGGGATCGTCATACACGCTATCATGCATCTGTACCATTATGACATGTGCTACGGGATCTTCATACATGCTCTCTATCACACATCTGTACAGTTGAGTATGACACATACTGCAGGATCTTCATATGTGCTCTCTATCACAAATCTGTACCATCGAGTATGATGCATGCTGTGGGATCTTCATACATGCTCTCTATCACATATCCGTACCATTGAGTATGATGCATGCCGCAGGATCTTCATACCTGCTCTCTATCACATATCCGTACCATTGAGTATGACATGTGCTACGGGATCTTCATACACGCTCTCTATCACACATCCGTACCATTGAGTATGACATGTGCTGCGGGATCTTCATACATGCTCTGTATCACACATCCGTACCATTGAGTATGACATGTGCTGCGGGATCTTTATACATGCTCTGTATTACACATCTGCATCGTTGAGTTTTAAAAATTAGTCTCTCTCTTTACTTGTTATAAACCTATGCCAATTTTCTATTTCTTCTTGAATCAGTTTTCATAGTTTATGTCTTCCTAGAAATTTTCCCATGTCATCCAGTTATGAAATGTAGTGACATGCAATTGTTCATAATATGCTCTGATAATCCTTATTATTTTATTTTATTTTATTTTGAGACAGAGTCTCACTCTATTTTCCCGGCCTGAGTACAGTGGCACAGTCTCAGCTCACTGCAACCTCTGCCTCCTGGTTCAAGTGATTCTCCTGCTTCAGCCTCCCAAGCAGCTGGGATTACAGGCGTATGCCACCATGTCTGTTTAATTACTGTATTTTTGTAAAAGCAGGGTTTCACCATGTTGGCCAGGCTGGTCTCGAACTCCTGACTTCATGTGATCCACGCACCTTGGTCACCCAAAGTGCTGCAATTACTAGATAATCCTTTTTATATCTATAAGGTTGGTTTTCTTTTTTTAATTTTTATTTATTTATTTATTTATTCATTCATTCATTTATTTATTTTTTGAGACAGAGTCTCGCTCGTCACCAGGCTGGAGTTGCAGTGGTGCAATTTCTCGGGCTCCCACTTGCTAAGGCTCAGGGCCTCCCAGTTCCGGGCCAGTCTTCTCCTCCTCAGCTCCCGGAGTTAGCTGGATTGACGCAGGGGCACCCCAACCCACTCACACCGGGCTAGCACTTTTTGTTGTATTTTTTAGGGCCAGGCATGGGATAAGGGCTGGTTTTCAGTGTTATCTCTTCACCTCTGATTTTTTTATGTTGAGCCTCTCGCTTGCTTGTATCGTTTTGCCCATCTAGTAAAGGGTGCTTTGTCGTTTCAGTTGATCGTTTTCAGATAACCCATTTTTTTGGTTTGTTGATTCCTCTTGTTTTATACTTCCTAATTTTATTTTCTTTTTCATTCTAATTCATTGTATTATATTGCCAAAACCCCTGTCCTTGCTTGATTCACTTTTTTGCGTTCCTTTGCTTTTATTTCTTGAGGGTAAAGATTAGTTATTTGATTTGAGATGCTTTTTTTTCTTTTTTAATATAGAAGTGATGGCAACTAAAGAACTTGTCCCCTCAGCCTTGTTTTCTTGAGCTGATTCCCAATAAGGTTTTTGATCGAGTGTTTGTTTTTCATTTTCCTTCATTCTCAAGCATTTCTGATTCCCCTTGGAATTCATTGAACCTGGTTATGGGAGGTGGAACTGTGCTGTTTAATTTGTACCATGATTCTCGGAATTTCCCAAATTCCTTCTTTGGCTGATTTCTCATTCTTGCCCCACATTTGTGTCAGGAGGTAGTTGCATAACAAGGCGTAGTCGCATCGTAAAATGTTACTGAGGCCTGGCGCGGTGGGGGGTCACGCTGTTGAACCCAGGCGACTTTGGCGTGGATGGCCGAGGCGGCAGAACCCACCCCCTGGGGCAGCATGGTGGAAAACCCGCTATCTACAAAATAGCCAAAAGCATAAGCCGGGGCGCATGGGGGGCGGCCATACCGTGTACTTCCAGGCTACGTTTGAGGCTGAGCTGGGCAGAGTCGCCCTGACGGCTTGTGAGGGCAGGAGGTGCCGGTGAGTCAGATCGTACCACTGGCACTCCAGGCTTGGCGTGGGGTATTAGTGAGGACTCCATCTCCAAATTAAAATAAATTAAGTAAATAAGATAATAATAACATAAATTATTGGAGTTTTTGTTTTTATGGCTAAAGACATGGGGATTCCGTATCCCGAGGAATATCCTCCCTTAGATCTTAACTTACTTACCATCTACTAGAGCCTTATTCAAAATAAGTCACCAATTCCCACGGTAACCAGGTGGGGCACATATCTTACGGCGGGGGGGGCTGGGCGGCACGATTCAAGTCAGCAAGGAGGGCATGTGAGAGTTAAATGCACAAACACCCAGGAGTGTGCGGGTGTGGGGATCTGGCAAGCGTGAGGCCCCACCCCTGAGCTCACCAGGCTGCCTCTCATGGCTCTACCCCCAGTGCCTGGGAAAGCCTCAGGCGCCCATGAGGAAGCCTCTCTCCCGGGTCCTGGACCCCAGGACCTCCCACCTGCAGCATCGCACAAGCACAGTGATCCTGGGCACTGGGGACCAGAGGCCGAGGGACACTTCGCAGCTGTGAGACTGAGACCCCGACGAGCGGCTTAACCTCCAGGGCCTCAGGATGTCTCCTCCAAGCTGGGTTGATGATAGCTGCGCCCAGAGGAACACTGTGCTCCCCGCACCTGGCTTTCCCTGTGAGGACACCGCCTCTGGGTGGTGGCGCATCTGGGGCCCCTCTGGGCCTGGCAGGTCCTTATGGGAGGGTCTGGGGACCAGCACTCAGTGCACTTTGGGATAAACCTTCTTTGAAACTTTTCTCACCCCTTTCTGGCATCATGGTCCCTCCCCAAAGACTGAAAGCCACCACAGTGAAGGCGAATCACCAGTGATCGGGGCTCGTCCCGGGGCCCCTTCCTGCCGAAGTGGCAGAACCGTGTCCAGGAAGGAGCCAGAGGGTGCTGGGCTCCCCGACCACGGTCCCGCCCGTGCACTCCCTTCCTCCCCAGCCTCCCCTCCACAGACAGCCAGGGACATGGCCAAACTGGGCTCCCTCTCATCCTGGCAGTTTCTATTCTGTTCCCATGGAAACTGCTATCTGAACGTGGGCAAGAAAAGAGGAGCCATATTCTTAAAAATAACAATAGCTCAGAAACTTTCAGCTACCCGTGGTTTCCATGGAAACTCAAGCCAAAAACAGAGCTAAATAAAGAAGGCATTGGGTTTCCCCTGCTACCCACCCCCGGGGGAACCGTGGAAAGCCACAGCCCTGCCCCACAGGGAGATGCTCACCACTGCTGTACAAGGATGCAGGACCAGCCCTCCCAAGTCAGCAACGGGACCGCCTTCCTCCAAAGTGCATATGGGTGTGCGAGACACAGAGAGGGAGGGAAAGAGAGGGGCCACAGCTGCTTCCTGTCCCTGCAGTCAGACACCCCCTACTCAGACTCACATGGGGAAGGGAGACTGGGGTGTGGGTATGGGGGACGCAGAGGAGGAGGGAAGGAGAGGGAGGCAAGGAGAGGGGCCACAGCTGCTTCCTGTCCCTGCAGTCAGACACCCCCTACTCAGACTCACATGGGGAAGGGAGACTGGGGTGTGGGTATGGGGGACGCAGAGGAGGAGGGAAGGAGAGGGAGGCAAGGAGAGGGGCCACAGCTGCTTCCTGTCCCTGCAGTCAGACACCCCCTACTCAGACTCACATGGGGAAGGGATACCAGGGTGTGGGTGCCCCAGGCCGCCCATGCTGGCAGAGGTCACTCACTGGAGGGTTCAGGGCCCATCTCAGTGCAGTCAAGGCTACCTTACTGCTCCCCTTTTCTGAAAGTCACCATGGGGCAGGGTGGAATCTGCAGCCCTCCAGGCCGGGAGGTCTCTGGTGGAGGGCACGTAAGACAGGCCAGCATCTCCTGGACAGCCCTGCACAGTGAGCTGAGCGTGGGCTTGCTTGGCTCTTGCTGCTGCCCGGAGACCTTGTCCAAAAGTTCCTACACCGAGGGCTGCGGACCCCGTGTCTGCTTTCCACCCAGGAAGTGCTTGGGAAATACCCAAGGAAAGGACGGCATGGAAAACCCCCTGAAGATGCGACATGCAGGGGCCCCCATTGCTTCTCCAGCTGCAGTTCCCGAGAAGAGGCTGGTCGTACAGGAGCCAGGGCAGCTGAGGCCCCCTGGCCAACTCGCTGCCATCTTGGGCAGAACACTGGCTCAGCAGCCAGACACAGCCTGACCCTGGCGGCCCTGCCCGGCCTGAAAGGAAAGTAACCTGCACATTCCGTCTTGCACCTGCCCACTTTCCCTTTCTTCTTCCGTTTGAACAATGCTCAGGACACCAGCTAGGCCAGGTTTTGTTTTTTCTTTTAATAATGTGTCTACATTCCTTAAACCAGTGCTTTTATCTCAAAGCAACTGGACACAGAGTTATGCTACTCTCAATTTCCTGCTACCATCGTCACATTTTAAAGATGCTGGAGTCGTGAGCCTGTGAACTCTTGTGACACACCCACTCGGGTGCTGGAGTCATGAGCTGGTGAACCCCTGGGCCACCCCACATAGGTGCTTCTCAGCTCTCACCCCTTCGGTGCCAGATCTGTGCTGGGCCCTCTTCTGCACAGCCTCACAGACTCTGCACGGTCCAGAGAGGACGCCGTCATAACCGAGCTCATGCAGAGGCCTGGGGTCCGTCCCAGCAGCATCCCCCACTGGAAAGAGACAGGCGGGAAACCTCAGGCCCGGCACCAGCCTGCCCGAATGCAGAGCAGGAATGCTTTTCCCTGTGGAGACCACTCCTCAGACCGCCACCCTTTCATTAAAATTTGAAGTAAACATCTGTATTTAACTCATCAAGCCTCGTGACACACACTTCACCTTCCATCTCCCTGGAAGACCCATTTTTGGGGTAATAGCAGGATGGGAGGCACGGGAGGACAGGAGCAAGGGGGGATGGGAGTACAGGGGGCACAGGAGGATGGGAGCATAGGAGGACAGAAGCCCAGGGGTATGGGAGCACAGGGAGCACGGGAGGACAGGAGCACGGGAGGATGGGAGCACAGGAGGATGGGAGCACGGGATGATGGGAGCATGGGAGGATGGAAGCACGGGAGGACGGGAACACAGGAGGACAGGAGCCCGGGGGGATGGGAGCACAGGGGACATGGGAGGACGGGAGCACAGGAGGATGGGAGTACAGGAGGACAGGAGCCCAGGGGATGGGAGCACAGGGGGCAAGGGAGGATGAGAGCACGGGAGGGTGGGAGCATGGGAGGACAGGAATCTGGGGGGATGGGAGCATGGGAGGACGGGAACACAGGAGGACAGGAGCCCGGGGGGATGGGAGCACAGGGGACATGGGAGGACAGGAATCTGGGGGGATGGGAGCACAAGGGACATGGGAGGATGGGAGCACGGGAGGGGGGAAGCATGGGAGGACAGGAGCCCAGGAGGACAGGAGCACAGGGGGGATGGGACGATGGGAGCATGGGAGGATGCCAAATGGGAGGACAGGAGCATGAGAGGACAAGAGCATGGGAGGATGGGAGCACAGGAAGACAGGAGGATAGGAGCACAGGCAGCATGGGAGGATGGGAGCACGGGAGGACAGGAGCATGGGGGAATGGGAGCACAGGAGGATGGGAGCACATGAAGATGGGATCACTGCAGAACAGAAGCACGGGAGGATGGGAGTGTGGGAGGACAGGAGCCTGGGAGGTTGGGAGCTCAGGGGGCATGGGAGGACAGGAGCACAGGAGGCTGCCTGCAGTGATTTTGTTATTCCCTTAACTTAAAACCCAGGACATGGGACCAGATGTTTGAGAGACACATTAAAACCAGTGAGAATTAAGCATAGGGAACGTGACCAAAGCTCTTGCCTTTTCCAATACCATTTTGGTTCCTAACAGTCAGAAACAAAAAGACATCCCTATTCTGAGGCATGAAGTATGAATGTGAATTTAGATGAAACTTTTAAATCGATCTTAAAGGACAGACAAATGTCAATGAACAGCAGTTTACAAATTGCAAGACAGAGAAGCAGCTTCACCAGTCTGCGGGAAGATGCCTCCACGGCGATGGGAGTGCGTTTCCTGCACGTATTCGCCCATCGCTCGTCTTTCATCCTCGCGCCCTGAGCAGGTGCTAAGGCAGAGGGTGCTCGCTCAGGGCGAGAGGCAGGCAGAGGCGGCAGCGCCAGCGGGGCAGGGTGCGGCTCCTCTGCAGGGCCACGGTAGACAGGGGTGAGGTACCAGGAGGCTTGAAGGAGGGGTGCCTGACCCCGCCTGGGCACCACAGAGGACTGCCTGGAAGAAGCTACCACTGACAGCCCTGACAGAAAAGAAGGCCCAGCCCAGAAAAGAGGCAGCATCGTCACCAGATCCCAGCCCAGGCAGGCCGGGAGTCAAGAGGGGCCTTCAAGATGCAAGCAGCATAAAGACCTATACACACACACACACACACACACACACACACACACGCAACACACAACACATACACAGACAACACAACACACACAGACACACATTTATAACACTCACACACAGCACACACACACATATGGATACATACGGAGGTGGCTCCGACAGGATGGGCTGCCCGGATCACGGGTCTGTGTGCCCTGCAGCGGGGGCAGCCTCAGGCCGTGGACACAGGGTCTCTCCAGCCACCCGGTGCAGCAGGGTCTGTGTGCCCTGTGGCGGGGGAGCGGCAGACACAGGGTCTCTCCAGCCACCCGGTGCAGCAGGGTCTGTGTGCCCTGTGGGGGGGGAGCGGCAGACACAGGGTCTCTCCAGCCACCCGGCGCGGCGGGACGGCTCCTGAAGGATGTGTGGCCATGGGTTGGGCTTCCAGGGCTTTCTGCAGGTGTCCAGAACAGATCCTCAGGAATGTTCAGCTTCGCATTCTGCTCCCCCGACCCCGGAGGCCAAAGAGGGGCTGCCGGCTTCACCCCACAGGCCTGCTCAGCCCTGACTTCCCACAGGGGCTGCAGCAGGGTTGCCATTTTTCACAACAATATATTAAAAAGCTAAAAGTTCTAAACCCGTAAGACGCCGAGGCCTTCTCTACTCTGCCTCGTGTGCTTTTCGGGGAACTGCACAGCCCTGAATGCCCAGACTTCAATAACACGGCTGATTGGTGCTTGCAGGCACTCAGGGTGAGAAGGAGCGGCAATGTCACAGACTCCACTGGATATTCGCAGCTCAAGCACACAGAGCAGCAGCTCCACACAAGCACTCACTGGAACCTGGAGCAAAGGAAGAGCCCCTGGGAACGCCCCCGGCCTGGGAGCTCCACTGAGGAGGGTGTGAGACGTCATCGGCTGTGCCTGCATCCCCATCACAATCCTATAGAGAGCGGTAAAGGCTTCCCAGGGAACAGCTCCGGACCCTGGGCATGAACATGAGTGCATGTGTGTGACTGTGAGAGTGTGTGAGGGTATATGGGCATAAGTGTGCTGTGTGCATGTGTATATGTGTGTGTGCACATGTGCATGTATGCATGTGTGTGTGCATGTGTGCATGCATGTGTATGTGTGTATGTCTGCATGTGTGCACGTGTGTGCATTGCGTATGTGTGCATGTGTGTGCGTGTGTGTGTGTGCACCTGTCTGTGCATGTGCACGTGTGTTTGTGTCTGCGTGTGTGCCTGTGTGTGCATGTGTGTGTGTATGCGTGTGCCTGTGTGTGCATGTGCATGTGTGTGTCTGCGTGTGTGCCTGTGTGTGCATGTGCGTGTGTATGCGTGTGCCTGTGTGTGCATGTGCATGTGTGTTTGTGTCTGCGTGTGTGCATGTGTGTGTATGTGCACGTATGTGCATGCACATGTGCATGTGTGTGTAAGTCTGCGTGTGTGCATGTGTGTGTGCATGTGCGTGTGTGTGAATGCACGTGTGTGTGTATGTGTGTAAGACTTTGGAGGACAAGTGGTTGACACGAGAGTCATGAGAAACCAGCCTGCTGGGGCCAGCTGAGCCCATGAGGGAGCTAAGGGGGAGCTCCCTCCCCACATAGGCCAATGGTCAGGGGCCCAAGCCCTGGTCAGCCCCTTGGCTTCCTCCCCTCACTCCAGGGAGCCAGTCTTTCCACCCAGGAAGGCTGCCAGCTCCACAACACCCCCAGGGCTGTGTGCCCAACAAGCTCCACCCAGCCAGCCTCCCAGGACCCCACAGAGCAGAAGAGATTCTCCCTGGGACTGAACACATGAGCAGAGTGGCCGGCGCCTGCCCCTCCTCGAGCAAAAGGGATATGCTGCTTCCTAGGCCCAGCCTTGGCCCCGGAAAGCTGAGAGGGACGTGTGGAAAGAATGAGGCCTCCGCTTGCCTGCTGGGGCATGAAAATAAATCACGAGGCAACAAAACAAAAGAAACAAGGCTGGGGCACTGCTGCCATTTCACAGGAAGAGGCTTCAGAGGAGCCGTGGCCCAGGCCCCCACGTCAGGGTCATCTCCAGTGCTCAGGCGGCTTTGCACGCACCCACCCTCCCCCAGCCCTGGAGACTCCCATCCAGGAAAGAGGGGGCCAGACTGCAGGAGCCCGCAGCCAGCGCTAACCCTCTCTGCTTAACTGGGACATGCCCAGCTTCCCTCAGCAGCCGGCCCGCCCTGCGCTGACCTGCAGGACCATCTTTAAGTCCACATCCCTCTCCTGAAGAGGGACAAGTGGCTCCCTGCTCTCGGTGAAATCCTAAGTCATCAGTGTTGAGACCACAGGGCTGTGAACGGCAGGTGCCCTGTCAAAAGCATTCGAAGTAAGCGGCTGCAGAGAATCCTCCCTGAAAAATCCGTGGGAAAACCACGGCCGCAGTCTCACCACCCAGCATGGCACCATAAAAATACATCCAGGGTATTTTTCGACGTGAATGAATCAGAAGAGGTCCCTGCAGCTGCCTGTCAATTACCGTCTGGCTGGGACCAGGCATCTGCGCTCCCCTTAGAAGTCTCTGCGTGGCTGGTGGTGGGACCCGGAGACCGGAGGCTGCGGGAAGAAGCCCAAGGCCCTTAGCCTGGTCAGGACATCAGGTGTTAGACACCCACTGCCCTGACGGGGAATCACTTCCCAAGCCCTTCACTGTGTATGGCTATATTCACACCTTACAGCTGCTGTGACAAATCCTCACAAACCGGGAGGCTCCAGCAGCACAGTTACCACCCAACAGCTCGGGAGCTCCCACACCTGGCCTGGGTCTCGCTGGACTCAAATCAGCATCTCGGAAAAGCTGCGTTCCTTTCCGAGGCTCCAGGACGCATCCGCTTCCTTGCCCTTTTTCAGTGGGCATCTGCCTTCCCTGGCTGGTGGCCGTTAGGCCGTCTCCGAGCTGGCGGTGCAGCACCACTCTGGCCTCCACTGGCTCTGGCCTCCTCTCCTGCCTCGCCCTTCCATGTTCATGGGTTCTGCAAAGACATCAGCTTCCCTGGGTAACCAGGAGGCTCTCCCCACACGCAGGTCAGCAGTGAGCAGCCGTCACTCTCCTTGGTCATGTGACCCTCACACCCCCAGGCCCTGGGGCATTCAGTGGGAACATCTGTGGGGCATTCTCCTGCCTGCATGTCGGGACCTGGCATGTAGAGATGCTTGGGAAACAGTCATCCACGAGATGAATTTGCAGAGTGGTGCCGATGAGGATAAAGGCTCAGAGGAGCCACGTGCTGGCTGGTGATCACAGCTATCGGGTGAGACAACCAGGACCTGCACAAACACGGCGAGCTCGCGTTGGTCTCTTCAGGAAGGAATGAGCATGCGTAAAGAAAACTTTTCACTTTTTAATTGGGAGATTATTCTGTCCACAAAATAATCGCTACCAGAGTACAGGCTTCAAAGCCACATCTGAAACTTGTGGTCAGGAGGGGGCAGGGCACTCACACTTCATTTTCTTCTCTGCTCCAGACACGTGGCAGGCACTGAAAAAAGCCATGAAGGATGTAGCCTGGTGTCTACAAATGACAAGCACAGCACTGGGGGTGGCCAAAGACTGCGGCCTGTGGACCTCGGGTTTGGTAACGGGCAGCAGGGCCAGTGGGTTGCTCCTGAACGGTGGAGAGACTGAAACTGCCCATACAGGGTGGAAGACCCCCAGCCAGGCAGGAAGGGCTCCTGCCCCCGCCCCCAGTAAAGCTGCCTGACCCCCATCAGAGCTTCAGCACCCTGAACCCACAAGCCAGGGTAGGTAGGAGGCCCTGAACCTCGGGGGTCAGCAGTGAGTCAACCCCCTGCCAACCATGGCTCCATCTGGGAGACCCCTTGTGCCCCAGTGGGACAGAAGCCCAACCACTGTCCTGAGACAGGGCATTTAGGCACCAGACAACCGCAAAGCTGCTAGAAAGAAGTGCGGCAGGAATGGAGGGAAGGCAAGAAAGAGAAACAGACTAACCACAAAACAAAACAGAGCAAAACTCCTCCCACTGACAATGAGCCTGCAAACAATAAGACTGCAGCTGAGGGGAAACCTGATGCTGAGACCCTGAGAACAGCTTATCCTGCAGCAGCAGCATCCTGGCACCGCCACCGAAACACAGAAAAGTCGAGTGAACTATTTTGAGCTGATTTCAAATCCATGGCTGGGCTGGCACCGTGGCAATGACGGGACAGGCCCTGAAAGGGAGGTGAAAACAGAACCTGGGGGTGCACCCACCCAACAGCACTTACCCCACAGGGACGCGCCTCACCTCAGAGCCCCTGAGCACTGTGGGGAGAAGAAGATGTGGCCTGAGGCTGACCCAGAGCAGGGAAACACAGGAGACCCCGGATGAATCTGGGACCGTCTACGGGCTATGCCCAGTGTAAGAGTGAACAACAAATAAAGCGATCACTCAGAAGGGGACAGAAAGAAAACTTACCTGTCTCAACCCTAGAATTACGTAAAGGGAAAAAAATAATCTCATTTTGTCATCGTAACAGCAAATGGGTCCTCAAACAGGTTTGTGATCAGTGAGGTTACCTGTGTGACCCTGCAAACCTCAGGGTAAACTTTAGTTCCAGATATCGATGGCCCAAGTAACCTCAAACGTTGAAAGAAAGAAGAAGGAGGAAGAGGAATAAGAAGAACAAAAAGAAGGAGGAAGGGAAGGGAAGGGGAGAAAAGGGGAGGGGAGGGGAGGGGAGGAGAGGGGACGAGAGGGGAGGGGAGGAGAGGAGAGGAGAAGAGACAAGAGAGGAGAGACAAGAGAGGAGAGGAGAGAGAAGAGAGAAGAGGGGAGAGAAGAGAGAAGAGAAGAGGAGAGAAGAGGAGAGGAGAGAAGAGAAGAGGAAGGGAAAAGCCGGCCATGGTGGCTCACACTTGTAACACCAGCACTTTGAGAGGCTGAGGCAAGTAAATTACCTAAGTCAGGAGTTCGAGACCAGCCATGGTGAAACCCCATCTCTACTAAAAATACAAAACTAGCCAGGCATGGTTGTGTATGCCTGTAATCCCAGATACTTGGGAGGCTGAGGCAGGAGAATCGCTTGAACCCAGGAGGCAGAGGTTGCAGTGAGTGGGATCGCACCATTGCACTCCAGCCTGGACAACAAGAGAGAAACTACGTCTCAAGAGAAAGAAAGAAAGACGGACGGACGGACGGACTTACTTTCCCTCCTCCACCTCCCTCCCCTCCTCCCTCTCCGCTCTGCTCTTCTCCCCTCCCTCCCCTCTGCTTCCTCCCTCTTCTCCCTCTGCTCCCTCCCCTCCTCTCCCTCCCTTGCCTCTCTCCTCCCTCCTCTCTCACCTCCACTCCCCTCCCCTCCTCTGCCCTTCCTCTCTCTCCTCCCTCTCCTCTCCCTCCTCCTTCCCTCCCTTCCCTGCCCATCTCCCCTTCCCTTCCGTCCTCCCTTCGTCCTCCTCCTTCTCCCCCCTCCCCCTCTCCCCTCGTCCTCTCTCCTCCCCTCTGCGCCCCCTCATCCTTCCCTCCCCTCCCTCCCTTCCCGTCCCTCCCCTTTCCCTCCGCTCGCCCTTTTCTCTCCCCTTGCCCTTCCTCTCTTTTGTCTTCTTATTCCTCTTCCTCCTTCTTCTTTTCTTCAACGTTTGGAGGTTACCTTGGCCATCGATATCTGGAACTAAGTTACCCCTTGAGGTTTGCATGGGCACCACAGGTAACCTCACTGATCACAAACCTGGTTTTGAGGATCCCCATTTGCTGTTAACGATGGACAAAATGATATTATTTTTTTCCCTTTACGTAATTCTAGGGTTGAGACAGGTAAGTTTCCTCTGTCCCCTCTTGAGTGATCGGCTTTATTTGTTGTTCACTTCTACCACTGGGCATAGCCCGTAGACGGTCCAGATTCCATCCGGGGGTCTCCTGTGTTCCCTGCTCTGGGTCAGCCTCAGGGCCAACATCTTCTTTCTCCCCACAGTGCTCAAGGGGGCCTCTTGGAGGTGAGGCGGTCCCCTGTGGGTAAGTTGCTGTTGGGTGGGTGCACCCCCAGGTTCTGTTTCACCTCCCTTTTAGGGCCCTGTCCGGTCCATGCCACGGTGCCAAGCCCAGGCCATGATTTGGAATCAGCTCAAAATAGTTCACCGACTTTTCTGTGTTTTCGGGGCGGTGCCAGGATGCTTGCTGCTGGCAGGATAAGCTGTTTTCAGGGTCTCAGGCATCAGGTTTCCCCTCAAAGGCTGCAGGTCTTATTGTTTGCAGGCTCATTGTTCCAGTGGGAGGAGTTTTGCTCTGTTTTTGTTTTGTGTTAGGTCTGTTTCTCTTTCTGCCTTCCCCTGCCCATTCCTGCCCGCCACTTCTTTTTCTAGCAGCTTTGGCGGGTTGTCCTGGTGGCCTAAATGGCCCTGTCTCAGACAGTGGTTGGGCTTCTGGTTCCCACTGGGGGCACAAGGGGTCTCCCAGATGGAGCCATGGTTTGGCAAGGGGTTGACTCACTGGCTGACCCCCGAGGTTTCAGGGCCTCCTACCTACCCTGGCCTTGTGGGTTTCAGGTGCTGAAGCTCTGGAATGGGGTCAGGCAGCTTTTACTGGGGGCGGGGGCAGGAGGCCCTTCCTGCCTGGGCTGGGGGGTCTTCCCACCCCTGTATGGGCCAGTTCAGTCTCTCACCGTTCAGAAGCACCCACTGGCCTGCTGGCCCCGTTACCAAAACCCGCAGGGCCACCAGGCCGCAAGTTCTTTGGCCACCCCCAGTT